CTATTCTTTTAGGAACCTCCCTAGACAATGGACTGGCAATAATCTCAGGTATCCTGGACATTCCCTTCACTGTCCCTTTTTCCTTGTTAAATCCTCATTAGCACCTACCAGTGTGAAGGGCAGCACAAGGAACTAGAAGTTATGAAAAACCAAGGTTTCTGCACTCAAAAAAAACTAACAAACCAGTTAGCAAGTAATCTGGAAATTGATAAATAAAACAAGCCGATAATAAAAACCAAAGGGTCTCCATGAACTGCAAAAGTCAAGGAGACTTTCTGGGTTGAGAACTATGTCAAACTTGAGGAATCAAATATTAAACAGGATATTAAGTGAAGTCTTCAGGTTGAGAAAGACCCAGAATTAACACACAGAAACAATCAGTGAGCAGGCTGTTTTGACTAGAACTGAAGAACCACACACTTCAAAAGTGTCAGGAAACAGTTGCCATCTTTAACTCCTTAGCATCCAGTTTTGAGAGACAATTTCTCACTGCTATTGTATATATAATGCTCCCATACTATGTTCCCAATGCTGAAAGAGAAAGCACTATCTCCGATGTCATCCTTGATTACCAAAGGCACAGAAAAACTGAACTTAATATATTAGGGTTCCTAGTAATGTTATATCTGACATGAATGGAAAACAACACTTGATATATACTAAAGAAATTGGCATTTCTTATTTGATCAGGTGGTTTGACTACTTTCTCAAAAAACAATGTCCTTAGCATGCAGTGTTAATGATTCCTGTACTAGACTGTATACTTCCTGAGGAGACCATATCCTTTTCTTGCTTTCGGTCTTCTTTGGTTCAGAGTTGGGACTCTTAGGAAACCTTTTACAAGTTATTCCACTGTGGCCAATCCACAAGTTCCCTTGAGCTCTCTTCCTTTTTTTGCAGAGTATACCTCACCTGTAGTCTTCAGAAGGGAGAGAAACAGCATACATGCTAATGTACAAGATAAGTGATACAAATTCAGATGACTAATTCTTATAATTACAAATTTCTCCATCTCAAAAAAGGACTCCCAACAATATTTTTGTTTTCTCTATTTTAACAGGAATACTATGAAACCAAATGAATTAACATTTCCAAAGATGCTTAGTTCCTCTCACAGAAAGCCACTGTCATAAAGTACCACTGGTTCCTTCAACATGACATAGTAAAACACCACTTCCCATAATAAGCTTAAATCAACAGTAGGTGATGTGTATACTGTTTAAATCACTGAAATGATGTCTCATTCAGATAATACTTCAAAATAAAAATGGAACGTCATCAAAGTGGGAGAACTTGAATTTATTTTATTTTAAGATGGTGAAGATCAAAGAACCAAATGCTAACTGGATGGACATGTAGGACCTTTCCTGACAGCTGACAGTGACTCAGCTCATTTTATTAACAAGTTAAGCAAAGTAAATGATGAATCAATGCCCACAAAGCAGGAAAAAATGCCAATTTCCCACTAAAAATCGCAAAGTGTGATAAACTTATTTCCGTTAAGAAAACTGCTGGAGCTTTTACTGGGGGATTTCCCAGACAAACAGAGGCAAAGATATATAAACTAAAAGCGGAAGGTAAGCACATTTCCTCTTAGTGTTTTTATGCTGGACACTAAAGCAAACACAGTGAATAATTCAGGAGTGTTTCATGTCATCCTCCTCTCCGAATGTGATCGGAAGAGATAACCTTCTACACACTTGCTCTTTCTAATTGCGTCGGTGTAGTGATGGGGCACAACAGCCCGTGGGAAGAACACAACAGCAAGGCAAAGCCACGAAGTGAAAACACCCACTTCATTCTCTCAGTCATATCAAGTACCATCACCTTCCTTTCCTCTTTACTTTTTCTTCCAGGTCTGTTTACTTAATCAACCGCTGCAATCATTGAACAACACCATTTAGCACCCTACCAGATTCCCTCCAACCTGCTAAGGTCGCGTGTTTTATTATTAGCAGCAACAGCTATTGAGGGTCTGCTTCATACCAGGTAGCATGCAAGGCACAATTTGGTTCATTTAATCTTAATTTTCTATGTGTTGCAAACTTAAGTGCAAAAGAGGTAAGGAAAACCACATCACTCCTCCGGTGGTATTCCTGCCCCCGAATTTTACTTTGAATCTGAGAGAAAAGGCTAAATAGGGGACCATTATGCAAAATAAATATCTCAAATTCCTTGAAAACTGTCAATGTTAGGAAAGATGATGGTGATGACAGTTTTTTAAAAGTTGGAGAACTTTATCAGAGTCAAGAAGTCTAGAAAAAAATGAGAATTGTGGTCCTTATTAAATCCTACAGCCTTAAACATTAAGAAAAGAAAAAAGTCTAGCCATAAAGAATGTTTTTCACACACCTTGGGAAATTTGAATATTGAGTGTATATTAGAAAATATTCTATCAGTGTTATATCTGCCTAAGAGTGATAACTGCATTGTGATTATGTAAGAAGATATCTTTCATACTGAAGCAATTAGGGTTAGAGTTCAATCATATTTGTAGCAATCTCCCAGTTCACAAACAACAGACAAACAAAGAATCTCTCAGGTCAGAAAGAGAAAAAGACAAAGGAAAAGGTGACACAGTATTAACAATGAGTAAAAATATGCACAGGGAATATGGGTATTCACTGTATTATTCTTGGAGTTTTTTATATGTTACAATTGTTCAAAAGAAGGAAATTTTTAGATTATAAAATAAAATGCTGAAAAAACTGCACCCAACCAACAGGAGTATCTAAGGAACACATTTGAAAATTCAGCAACAATTGGGGCTGGGATTCAGATATCAGGTAACTGTTATTGTTTACTTCAATTATGGCTAAATTTTTTTTTTTTGTATATTTATCATTTACTCATTTAAAGAGTGTACACAAAAGGAAGATAACATAGATTGCTTTTCTCTTATATTCTTGTAAAGAGTTGTATGACTACAGATATAAAATAAGATAAAGGAAAGGTCATTATCAATTGTTTTTTAGCTTTACTACCTTATAATGTCAGGAAGAATGAAGTGAGGTGATGAAAGTTTATGCTAGTATAATTTAAAAGCCAAGCGGAAATAGCATACAATATTAAAATGAATAAGCTCATTTCAATGTATGGGATGTATCTGATAACTGTAAAATCTGCCTGTCTCCTGTATCTGTGACCTTAGTAGATGGTTATCATTTGCATTGCTTTGAGGATGGATTCTGTGGGAAGAGGCTAATAGCTTGCACTTTACTATGTACATGGGATTGTAAAAATAAATCTGACATCTTCTGATCATATTAATAAACTGGCTATTAGACACATTCATACATGTAATTTACAACCACCCCAAACTCAAGATGCTAAAGTCCATTTATTAGCTTTACTTCTTTCTCATCTTTCCTTCCACCTTCTTCTTTCATGTTACCATTCTTTCCTTAAAGTTTCAATGCCTGTTAATGACACAATTTTCCACCTTGATCACTAGGGTTGAAATTCAGATATGAATGTTGGTTCTTTCTCTTTACTCCATACAAACAATAGCAATTAATAATTAGTCTCTTAAAAATAGTGCTTGAGAAAATTCTCCACCTTTTCTGCCTTTGTTCAAGTCCTCATATCGCTCACAAGCATGCCTACAATTACCACTTGTTTTCCTTATGTTCCTTCCCTGTTTCTACACTCAATTACTCTACCATCTTGTGTCCTGAGCCTTTCTCTGTAATGACAATCTGATGTATTCCTCTGCTACTAAAAGTCTCTAGTAGCTCTTCACTTCTAGAAGGATAAGGGGGAGATACCTTAGCAAACAGTATCCGGGTCCACAGAGACATGCTCCATCTGAATGATACCATCTGACCTCCCTCCATGTGTGTCCTTGTTCCTCCTCATGTCTTGCATATGTTCCTCTTTCTGCCTTCAATGCAGTTCTCCACTTATCCATCTAGAAAAGTCTTAATTTTCTTTCAGTGCCTAGATGTCTACATCATTCTTCCTATCGCTCCCTCCCAGAGGCAAAGTTCAGGATGTTTTCTTTGGGCTCTTGTGGCATCTCCATTACATTATCATTTATCCAAACAGCATTGCTATACTTGGTTTCCTTGTCTGTGCTCATCATTAAATTCTGTGAGAGCAGGACCATCTTTTAACAGCCTTTGCATTTGCAGCATTAAGCGTAACATCTCATACAGAACAGGTATTTCTCATGTTTGTTAAATGTAAGGATGCATTACTAAATAAAAGAATAAATAAAGTTAAAATTATAAATTTTTATCATGCATAAAAGCTATTAAAAACACATAGACTGGACCAACAATGAAACCAGAGATTCATGCTGAAATCCAAGATTCAAAGCTTTTATTTATGTTGCCTATCAACCCGTTTTGCCCATTAAACACCCATTTACTCCAGGATTGCACAGAGGTTCCCACAAGAAATTTTTTTTCTCCCCTGTAGGAAAAAAAGCCAGTAACCCTACATAGATCAACTTCAGCAAGGTGAAAAATGGAGAGGTGAATTGAGGAATGGCCTGCTATCCACATCACTGGCACACTGGGAAGTCTAAACACAAGGACTGAAGAATCAAGACTTAAAAAAATTGTCTCCCAGGAGTTCTCAGGGAGTTATGAATATAAATCACCAAGTGACCTTTATGGTCACCCATAAAATCCTGTGCCCTTCCATACTGTAACCTCAAGCTAACATTACTGATCTACATGACCATGCACATAGATATCTTACATTTGAAAAGCATCTCAACCTGTAAGGACATATGCTTAACAATGAGTCCCTGAAACAAACTGAAGAAAAGTGGGGAAAACAAGAACATTCTGATGTCTTTTGCAGCATCAGACACTTGAGTTGGCTATTGCCAATATTTTTTCATATTTTCCCTAAGGAAAATCAAACAGATAATGAGATATTTGGTCCAAGTGTTTTGTGCGTATACCTTTAAAATGTCACCTTTGGGTAACTCAACCCACTAATGGATTATTAATAAAATTCAGTAACTGTCAAAGCACTTCTCAGTGGAGGAAGGTTTGGCGGCGACACCTATTAGAAGAGAGAGACAGATGGCCTTACCTCTCAGCTCCTGCGTCCACAGCTGTGAGTGGAGGTAACTGGGAGGAGGGGTTGTGGGGGCTCCCCTGTACATTATGTCCCGGAGAAGGGTGACTGACAGGATGTGGGGGTGGCACGGCCCCAGCAGCTGTTCCGCTTCTACTTGAATGATTGCTGGAGAAAATGGAAGCTGAAATCAAGGGAGAACAAGCATCAGACTGCGCCCCAAGTGAAGCTCACATATTTTAAATACTGAAGGCTGACAGCAAGCATATTTCAGGGACTTGTTTGTTTTTCTCTTGGTGGTTTAAAGTGAACAGCTCTCCTCTTTCTGTATATACACAGGTTTGTTTTCATGATGGAGCAGGTTCCTTAGCTATGTGTCTTTACTGCTGCCGGAGGAGCTCCTGTTCAGCTCCCTCTGGGGTAAAGTTCAAGGTTTGTCTCCTAAGTGCTGCTTTGCCCTACAAGTTCCCTGCCCTACCAGTTCCCTGTGTGGACACTGTATAATTCATCAATCTTGTAATGTTTGCATCTGGGTGAAGGTCTCTGTACTAGTCCTGGGGGAAGAGAGTTAGGTAACAGAATATTTGGTTTCTGACTGAGAAGGGCACAATATAAGCCTCTTGTCATCATGGCAGTGAGCCATTGTAGGTCATGCCAGGGTCTCTTTCTGTCATTGCTAAATCAGTGTAATGAGAATAAACTTCCCCTGATGCTAGCATCAAGGCAGTCACTACTCCCTTTTAACTTCAAAGTCTAACTAACCCTGGGCATTTCGTGGATGGTGTGATGGATGGATGTACTCAGTCTTCGTCAAAAATGAGTTCTCTCTCAACACCACAAAATATGAAAAAGCAGCCTCACACACAGCTCCAGGATCTTCCCCTGCTGTTGCCTATTACAGCACAGTGAGTTACAGTCGCATTCTTAGGGGTAGCTTAGCTTTTGAGAACTATACATGACCTCAAACTTAAAACATGTGCCCATTTAGAGCAGCTAATTGGTGCGATGTCACAGAAGGGTTTGTCACTTTTAGAGTCTATCACTATTAGTGGCGCTCTCAGTGTCTGGGCACCTACTCAGCAGACATCTAGTTATGCAGCAATCATACCAGTATCATTCTGCCGACTTTTTTATCTTCCTTCTCCAAACAAAGCTAAACTGAGCTTTACACCCAACTCTGCTCTTTTTGAACTTACTGTACTGATATCAAATAATAAATGGATTGAAAAAAAATAAAAGAAATAAGGTTCAGGATTAAGAGAAGCCACATAATCAAAGAGATTGGAGGGTTTAAAAGTTCAGAGAGCTATATTTTTAGACCAGTACTACTTTTCTTCAACCTTTTCAGGATAGAATTAATACCCCAGATGACCCAGCTCCCAAAAGCTTAATCCAAAGGAACAAGAGTTCAAGTGCTTAAAGAAACATGTGAACAGGCAGAATTACCATCTTCCCGCTCAAAAAGCTACTGACAGGGGTGTGATCTGATGTGAAGGGTTTATTTCTGGAAAATCAGCATTCTGTCAGGTTAACTCTTGTCCTCAGAAACCTGCATCCTCCACAGCCTTCCACGTCCTCCAGAGGTGGTGAGACTAGAAAATGCTTACCAGCTCAAAACGGCAGTGCAGTGTCTGTACTCTGCGTCAGCCTCAAGAAAAGCTGCGTATTTGCAAACTGGCTAAAGTCACCTTATGAATCACCACCCTCATTTATGCTCTGCTCGCTCAGGCAACCACAATTCTGCTTGTATTCCAAATAATAATTTTACCCAGGGGAGAAGACTGTTTGGATTGACTCTGGCAATAGTCTCAATACTCGTGTTTGTCAGCATGGAGCTTGTTGTTTTATATACTGCTCCAAAAACTAATGGAATAATAAGAGGTCACGGAGACACTGTGCAAACACTTTTAATATATTTTTTTTTCTGCCTTAGTGTAGAAACGTGAGCTCTCCTATTTGTTTAGTTGTTGTTCTTGAATTCACCCATCACTTATTATCCCCTGGAGGTATTTTCGTATGTATGTGTGTGCATTTATCATAAGGAAGCAATGTTCATGCTATTCATAACCCTGTGGGTAACAAGGCAATTTGGTGTGCCCACTCTGCGATCTCTTTATAGTTTGACAGAAAAGCTGGTACTTCTCAGACATCTGTAATTAGCTATATTAATGACAACTCTGCATTAGTTGCAATCAATCAAATATGCTGGGAAATATGGTATTATTTGTAATCTGCCACACACTGAAAGTTGGGTCTATTCTCCCTACTTGATAGCCAGGATCAACCACCTATCATAATGTATCTATTCATTTGTCCATTCATCCATCCATCCTTCCTCCATTCCTTTTCTTTTTTAACTCAGTATTCACTAAGTGCCTACTACATATTAGACACTCCGTAGTATCCCACATAATCAGCCAGTCTTAAAGAGGTTGCAGTTTAGTGATGGTACTCAGAAATTGCCACTACAGCACAGGAAATGCCTCTTTCACTAAATTTCTGACTGTATTAGTTCAGTCATATATCCAGGAATTCACCTTACTTCCTATAGTCTAAGAATATGCTTTATTTATTCCATACAAATTTTTAGCTCCTGCTCTCTACCAAGCAGAAACTAATCTTTCTTAGTATTTGATGTCTGAATACCTTCTGGCTTCACACAGACCTGCCCACCACAATACATGTGTTCAGACAAATACTTGGATTTGCCAAGTGATTTTTTTTAACTTCAGGAATAAAATAATATAATAGGGTTAATTGTAAGGTCAATCACAAAAGGAAAAGTTTCATTCCATACAAACTGAAAATGATTTTCTAATTTCATCCAATGGAGCATACATACAAGGTCTATGGATTAAGAGCATATGAGAACTGGTTCCTCAGCAATATAGGGAAATATTAACAAAACTGTTATGATCAAATCAACCAGCACATACAGGACACAGGTTGCCCACAGAGGTGGCCTTCACTCTGGTGTCAACTTAGGGGTTTCTTTTGAGCCTGGAAAGAAGGCTTGTAGGCAAACCTCCAGATGGGGCTGATACTGCCCGCAGGAACAACTGTTAAGGCAGAGCAGAGGAACATTTTGGAGATTGTGATAAGAGATGGCGGATTCCCCATGGAAATAAAACGTTGGCTTGGAGAAGTATTTGTGAGCCCTGCTCCAGAAGAGGGCCAGAAGCTGGTTTCCCAGTTGCTCTCTGGGATTGGCTTTTGTTGCCCCTTACACTGTTTACTGTAGAGGCAGTTGGAGGTTACCAGTTGGACTTTGTAATTTTGACAAAGCAGCATGTTTTGACCTACATGCTCTTCAGATGCCATCTCACTAGATATCTGGACCTAGGAATTCTAGGCTAGCACCTTTAGCTAGTTCAGGTTAATTTGGGTTAACAGGTAGTTTTCTCTCTATCTAAATGGGAACAATGAATCTGTATTTCTAATGGGTATAGACAGACAGGACACTCCTGGAAATACTTCACATATTCCCTCTGTGAATGGGGTGAGACAAGGAATGTTAGCTACTTCCTGAAAGGAAGCCTACTGTCTCAGGCCTATTCCCAGAGCCAGAGAAGGCCACCATAGACACTGTTGGTAAATAAGTTTCCATCATTTTACAGGGAAGAAGACCTCCCTCACTAGGCTAAGGTAGATGAAAAACAGCCAACTGGAGGGCATGTTTCTATTCAAACTGTATGGGCAGCTAGACTCCTGCTTCTCAGTCTTAACATAGAAGACATCATCAGGGTAAGTATTGACTCTGATTCCCTAGATCTTGGACACAGGGTGTCTGAGGGGTGAGACAGATGACGAGTCTATTGAACTTCCAAAGGCTGTTGACCTGGATATCACACTGAGTAGTATCTAAGCTGAGTCTTATCTAAGCTGAATTTCATCTTATTGCTGCTCATACCTTAGTTTATACAGTTCATACTTACTGAGTATTTTACAAACCGTTCTCCAGTTTACTGTCAAGGAACTTGGGGCTTAATTTGGTTCCTGATTAGGTTACCTGACCTAGGTCATGTGGTTGGTAAGAAATAGAGTTGAAATTCAAACACATGAAAACTGATTTCAAACCACAAGTGTTTAAACACCAAACCACATTGCTTCTCAAAGGTAGGATGAATTCAAGACCATGCATAAAGATGCTGATACTGCTTCAGAACTCCTACACACCTGTTTACAAAGGTTGCTTGAAGACATCCTTCCCTGACCACACACAATGCACACACAGGTATCGTTACCTGTCAAGTTACTGGTTAGGATGCAAAAAGTGTATTTTAACGTCTATTTCTATTGATTCCAAAAGTGCCAAAGTGACCTCAGCATGGATGAAAAATATATTCAGCTCTGGAAATTAATTCAGAAAAGAAAATATCTGAATTGTTTGCTTTAGGAAACAAACAGCTGGTAGATAAAATAAAGATTTTAGCTGCTTCTTGAGGCATACTGATCTACTAGTGGGAAAGACAGAAGGCAAGGAAGGATTATTGGTGAGTAATCAGATATATGCTCCTGTTGCCACAAGGAAGCATGATGTTGTAGCCACCCCCTTTGTCAACAATGAGTGAAGGGATTGTGCAGAGATTGTGAAGATCTGTACTATTTATCTGTTATAGTAAATCTGCATTTGTATTAATTTATGGTTGTTGGACAAGCCATGGTGTTTTTCTTTGTAGTGGGTCTACTTTCATAGGAAAAGGGGAACAAGTTTTATTCATGTATGTATTGTTGATTCAGTTACAATGAGTGCTAGAATAATGCTGGGGTTTTAAGAAATGACACTTGACAGAGGCAAAATGTTCAGGGTTAGGACACACAGCAGCAGCCTAATCAATGAAACCAGGCTAAATCAATTCTCACAAAGCTGTTAAAAAAAAGAAGAGAGATAGAGAGAGAGACCCATTCAAATGTTTTTTTTTTTTTTTTCAATCACTTTTCGCTTTCTTTGGAGAAATTTAAATCTGGGAAGGATTCAAGAGACAGTTGAATTGTACTGCAAATTTTGGTTCCTTTGGTTACATCAAAATTTGGAACTAGAGGGGGAGAGTGTCAGGGTGGTTATTAATAGAACATGTACATGCATGCACAAGAGTCAACAGGAGCTGGATTTGAGCCTGAGCTTCACCCATTGCTAGCAGTATGTATTGGGAAAGTCATTTAACCTAAACCTAGTACCTTCCCTTTAAATACTATCTCACAGGATGGTGATAAAGATTATATATTAGTGTACAAAACACATTATAGTGCCTGGACCATGGTGAAGTATTCAATAAACCATTTTGCTATGCTTATACTGTTCTATTATTAATATGATAGGAAAGACAAAGGCATGCTTCTCCAAAATGGTAAAATGGGGATCTCTCTGATGGTGTAGGGTTGTGAGTCTCACACTATCACACAATCAGTACTGCAGCCTCAGTTCGACCTCCGGCCAGGGAGCTAACCCTACATAAAGCACCCTAGACTTCTCCTATCTCACCTGCTGCTCCCCTAAGTAATGCATTTTAATAGATCTGCCTGTTCTGTTCCACACTCTGTCTCTGGTGAATCCTCTCACCCCCTGCACTTCTAGCTTACACCCTAGTTCTTTTATGCATAAATAGAAAAAGAAAAATATTCTGTTTTTTTTAATATAAAAAAAATCTTCAGAAAATGTCCCCTTTTCTGAAGATGCATAGTTATTTAACTGTAAACTAGATTAAAGTTCAGTGAAATGTATATATCATTTTACTAGTAAGCCCTTTTTGTTTAGCTTTTCTAATGCAAGTTGCTATAAAGTATTCAGGGCTTGTGAAAGAATCCTCATAGGATTAAAATGTACTTTATTTTACAGGAGTAGTGCACACCTTTGAGTTATAACTGGTAAAGTGTTTCGGTTTAACAGATAATTCATTTTCATGCATGACTCACCTCGTTAAGAGCAAAAATGGGCTGTTACTAAAATGTCAACACAATTGTCCCCCTTGAAGCTTAGTTTATCTTTAAGTATTTTTACATTTTCAGCACTTCTTTTTGTTTCTCCAAGAGCATAAAGATCCAGCTATAGTTATTCTCAGAATGTAAAAAAGACCTCCCTTAAGTCATTCTATGGAAAATAGCCAGTATTAGAGATGACAGGAGTTTGGGACCTTAATAGTGACAATCTGGACAATCTGGACCCCAACACTGTCTGCATTTCTTTGCCTTTCACCAGGGAGTAATTTAATTGCACCCTTGTTGAGAGGGTAATGCTTTCGCCACCTAAATTCACCAATGAGAGTTTACTAGGAAGGAAAATGCCCAGTTAGGGTGACTTGGGGGCTGCTTTGAGGTTACCTGGAGAATGGAAGAGGGGCTGCAGTTGGCCCTCGTCTTGAGGCCTGTGTGCAGTAGGGGCTAATTTTTCTTTTCCTTTCCTTCTAAAGTCTGGACATTTACCCCCCTCTACTCATTCCTCATCCAGAAGGGCATCATTCCACATTCCACATGGGTTAGGAAAAAGTAGCTTAAGGGTTTGCACAGTCATCTCTCTAATCTTTTTCTTCTCCTTGCAGCATGAATAATTTGAATATTGCCAATCTCTATAAGTCTCTTCTTTCTACCTGTCTTATTTTTCCTATCACTTTGCAGTGTAGAGTATCATTATCCAGCAGCCCTGATAAGAGGATAATGAAACCATTCCTTCTCAACCAGATCTGGTGGCTGTCAGACTCAAATGACACCACCTGTATATCCTTGACATGCTACTCTAAGCTAATTGATGGCAAACAATGGTAACTGTCACCTGTGCACTGACACAAAGAAAACATACTCGTGTCACCTGATGGAAGAGCTACCTGGCAACCGATAAACAAATGTGCTAGGGAGAAGTTTTATTAAAGTAAGAGAAGGTACAACTCTGAAGAACATGCCTATTTACTTGGAGTTTAAGACTGCAGCTGTTCATTGGGGAGCAGAAATAAATAAGGTAAAATGAGAATTTATTGATGTCTGGACAATTACATGAATATTCAGGTTCTCTTACAAATAGATATTCCCACATGAACACCAACTCCTATGTAGGCTGCCCAATTACATTTCCACACCATGCAGTTGAATTTATAGCTAGGGAAGAAGTTGTTAGGATACAGAAGAGGATACATGCTTACATGTCTTTCTAGAACACACTGTGTTACAACTAGATAATAATGTCTGTCGTCATTCATATAAATGCCAAAGGTTACCATCAAGCATTCCGAAATACCAGGTGTCATTAACTTCACATTAGTAAAACCTTCTGAAGCATCTGCATTTCAGAACAAAGAGATTTTGTTACAAGAAGAATGGCATCAGCTGGCAGCTCTTTCTACTTCTCTGGGACCAAAATTTCTCACAACCCTCTTGGGTCTCTCCAGACACTGCATGACATATCTTCCCTCAAATGTCATAGCTTAACTTTCTTCGCATCTACTTACTCACTAGCAGAGAGTTAGTTACACAGAAAATCAGTAAACTAATTTGAAAAAGGAAGCAATCCAGACTGTACTGTGAGAAATTCAGTATTATTTCTAGCTATTATGCTATCCCCCATTTTGGGCAGAGTAGGACAATAGAAAGAAAGAAGTGGAGCAGGTATAGCCTGCCATTCTTTCAGGAATACTCCACCCTCTCTGTTGAAATCAAGGTGGACTTGGCCATAAGAAAACAATATAAATGTATTTAGTAAAACATTAAATCAAACCTCCCATTATTCATCCCTTACCTATCTCCTACCTATACCATGCTGACCATGATAGGTGATTCTTCCCTTTCATATCCTATTGAGACGACCACCCACTCTAGTTTCATGTCACTGCTGAAATTTTTCACAGCAAAGTTTTCTCAGAAACAAATTTTTAGCAGTGGCTGCCAATCCAATTTTAAGTCAAGTCAAGGACTGCTTGAACAACTCTGGACTCACTCAGGAAACCTCTCCATGTCCTAGCTCTATAAAATGGAGCAACAACAGCCATCTTGCTATAGCAGAGAACATTACATCTATCCTTGTCATTACATCTATCTGCCATTACATCTATCCTTAGGAAAAACTGCAGAGATGATGAAATTGGTCTTGCTAAAAATTCAGAGAATCCTCCTTTTTCTCTCATTTAGCTCACAAAGAAGATGTTCTTCTCATTTAGCCTTTCGGCAGTAAGAGCTCCCTCTTGGTTTATTTCACCCTTAAGATAAACTCTGGTAAGTCATTCACATATTATCATGAATTCATGATGATATACAACCTTTATCAAAGAATTTTTATTTAAATCCTTTCTCTGCTTTTGAAATGGAAGGCTTAGTTTTCAGATACATGAATTTCAAGCGTGATTGTTGCTGTAAGAATGTGTATTTTGAGGATGCAAGCACCAGATGGGTTCTAAAAGTCTGCTGTTGCAATTTTTTGCTTTTCTCCTGGACATGAACTTAGAGGTCTCCAAGAGACCTGGATTTTAGACAGAATGATTGATATGCAATGGTTTAAGACTTCTCTTTAAGGGAAGACAGAGAGTAGCATACTAAATGGAATGAAACCATGACCATTCCATCTGCTATCTTTGTTGATACTACTCATAACCAGAAGCCCTACCTGTCTTCTGGGAGTGTATTCCTAAGTGGGAGCACCTTACATGAGTCACAACTTACATGATCCCACCCCATTCTCATGGTTCAGTCTGTCTCAGTAGACCTCTGCTTGCAATGCAATGCCTTTTACTGATAGTAATCCCATTTGAGAGCCACTACACTTGGGCGTTCCAGAGAATGCCCAGAGAGGACTAGGAGCACAAGCGCTCCGGATCTCTTGAATTGCCGTGGATGTATTATGACCTTGTTTGAATATTAGACCTTATAAAAACTTCTGAAAAATGCAAGAGTAAGACAACCACTAAAGTAGCTGCTAAATCATTTAAAATATAATTGGGGGGTCAATAAAATATGTATGTATTTAGATTTTTAAAACAAAATTGAATCACATGTATGGAAATCAAAAGTTTTCTTGGTTTCATTCGGTTATTGATGAATTTCCAGATGTAAGTATAAAATGGCAATTGGCAAACCTTTTCTGTAAAGACCCAGAATGTAAATATTTTAAGCTCTGCAGACAAGAGGCAATGTACTCAATTTTTGAACAACTGTTCTCACCTAAACGTTAACAGACTATTTTACATTTTATATTTAAAACCTGAAACCACCCTTAGCTCTCAGTCCAGGCAGACATAGGAGGCCAGTTGGCTGGACCTGGCCTGTGATATAATAAATTATCTGTGGTATGTTAATTACTAATTATCATGAAAAAAATAGAATATGGTCTTTGAAATATGGAAACTAAATTTGAGATAAGCAAATAGTAAAGAATACTTTTTTAGATGTCTAGCAGCATGTTTTGAGATAATTTACATGTCCTAGAAGAGTTAATTATAAATCAACATCAGGGAGCACCAACCTCTGCCTAGAAGGTCAACACAATGGCTTTGTAAAACTATTGGTCAAGGTCTTCAGCCCTTTTTCTTTCCTCCACTTTCCTCACGTCACAAATTCATTGTTGATGAAATTCATTTTTCAATCTGGCACACTGGCATGCTAAATGACCAGCTTAAATAAACTCAAGGCAAGGAAAAAAGTCTAATTTACTGCTCTGAACACTGGTCTTAGAATATGGGAGTCCTGAGTACTAATTTGACCTGAATTCTTCTTGGAAGGAACACTGTATTTCTGCACATCTATATCTGAAGTCCAAGTAGGAACACCCATTACTGAAGGAATGGTTAGAAGGTGAACTATTGCCTATTATGACACTAGCTAGGTTGACGATTAATTCTGTAAGTTTTTAAGCAAAGAGGATGAAGGAAAAATTAAGGAGCATTGACTGAGAAGTTACCAATTATAGGGAGGGTACTGAATGTTCACACGTGATCTCAACTACCACAGGAAATCTAGGGAATCAGTATTCTTACCATGAATTTACAGAAGAGGTAAAGTAACCTCCCCAAATGTAAACATCTAGGGAGTAGAAAGTCAGAATTGTAGATAAGACTTAACTTCACTTTCTGCACACTGTGAAAACCAAAACTAAAAATACTGCACTACTTTTGAATACAGGAATCCTCATACTCTTAAAATACAATTTGACTTTGTGATTCTGGAGATATTGCTACTCAGGTGATAGATTTCTGATTCCAATTTGATGTTCTTTAGAGACCTACAGTACATTTTTGTAATTAAAAAAAAAAAGCCACATTAACTACTGGGAAAATTACTGAAATATAAAATAATGAACTATTATTTTTACTTTAACTGATGCTTACTAAATTCCCAGTCTATGCAGCTTTCACATTTTCACAGGTAATTTGTGCCTTCTCTATCTGCTTTACAGAACTATAATGTTTATTTTTCTAGTATTTGGAAAAAAAGCAACAACAATAATAACTAACAGGTGCTGAACACTTGGTATGTGGAAGCACTATTCTAAGTACTTTGTCTGTAACTTAATTCAGCAACTGATCTCTGTAAGGGGAAAATACAGTTGAGATGGAGTAAGAAATTAACATTTCCATTTGTAAATATTCTACATGAGCATAGGTTAGTTACACAGACATCAGATGAATTGTACAAAACATGGCCAGAGATATAACAAGGGATGCTAATTACTGTCTGCCCTTAGTTCTGTACAAATATAATACAAAATGGCCCTAGTACTTCCGGACTATAGACAGTAGATCATTGCTTTACCACGATACAATATTCAGGGGCAGATATTACATTTTTCACAAAGTCAATACATTTCTCAGAAAATTTGGCAAGTATGCTCATGAACTGACCTGAGGAGGTGCATGCAGTGCATGCTGATGAGAGTTTATTCTCCTTTTTTTTTTTTTGAATAGTAAAGAGTTCCTTCCTGAAACCTGTCTTCAAAGGTGATGCTAGAATTTTCATTAAACACCCAGAGAAAAGTTCCAAGGAAGATTATAAAAACTTGACTTTTTAGAGTGTTACTGGGTACTTATAGATGTCTAAAGAGCAGCTCTGAAATCAGAACTGATAGAGTAGAAGTCAGATATTCACAAAGCAGAAGTTAAATACTCACTGGAGAAAACAAAACTGAAGCTAAGGACCAGGAAGAACTAGAAATGGTGTCATGAATGTGAGGCTAGGACAGCTTTGACATTTAGGTAGGGAAACTAAGATGCCAAAGAAGCAGCTGAAACTTCTGATGAACCAATTCCTGCTATTAAATCAGCGTTAAAGATTAGATACATGGCCAGCATCAAAATAGAGCAGATCTCTGTTGAGGATATAAGACAATATTTTTAAAGTCTGGAGAAAGTACTTTTGGTTTCCTGGAATGAGTCAGTTCCTCTCTTCTCTACCCTGTTCTCCCACAGCGCCCTCATGCAATAAACTCTTTTGTAGCTGTTAATAGTAAAACATAAAAGTAATATCCAAGCTAACTTGACAATGGTTTTCACATGAGAATTTTATCCCATTAGTTATTTTCAGTATTTATATAATCATAACAGACAAATTTCCACTATGACTACAAAGACCTAAAATGTTGACTTTCTTTTATCTTTATTCCTCATTTCAAAAGTACAGAAGTACCTACTCTCTTTCACTAGAAGGTAAATTCAATTGAAGCACACAGTCATAAAATTGAACACAAAAGTTGGGCCCATAACTTTCTAGCCATAAACGCTAGTAGCTTCCAGTTTCACAAACTGCACTCTGAATTTTCATCTATCTGTTTCCTAAGACTACTTAAGTATATACACTTCAATATAAATACAAGTGTAGCTTCTCACACTTCATTTCAGTGCCAGCAAAATAACATAAAATAGGGAAAAGGAGGAATGATAATGTAAAGAAAATCAAGATATGCCTAATGGGAACAAATAGCATAGTCTCACTTTTTTCCTTTTCTCTTCCATGAGGAGGGGAATTGTTTTTGCTCAACCACAAAAATATTTTTACAGCAAACATTTGTACAATCATGAAGCTGAATAATGCAGCTTAATCTTGCATGAGAAACTAACATGAATACAAGGGAATAAGTGGATATGGAAAACTGAAGCACCAAATTAAGCAGCTTGCAAACATATAAAGTCATTAACATAAGTTGCATAGATTTAAATGTGTCCTTTGCTAGCTGGGAAAAAGAGTTTTAATTTTCTTCAGTTGAGTGGTTTAAAATCTCACTCCTAATCAAAACATGAGCAATGCCACTACACAGCATGCAGGTATGGTAGAACAAGCTTAATAGCCATCTATAGGTGTTCTGTAGAGAGAAACAGAAAGATAAACTTTAGCAAAATTATTTTCCAATATTTTATCCATTTTCACTCTCTACAATTATTTAACTGTAAATACTAGAGAAGCATGATAAACATGATTCTAGCTATTTTTGTAAATATACAGCGTATCAGTGATACTATTAGGCTGTTTTCTGTGAACAGATTTCATTCACATTATTTTAATGTGAAAATCCTTCCCCAGCTTAGAAATACTTTTAAAAATTTAAACTTTATTAAGACATACTGATATAAAAATGAAAGCTACTGAAAGGTATATTGTGGTACTTTGATATATGTATCTATTGTGAAAGTACCCTTTTCTCCCACCACCATCTAGTTAACCAGGGGATACCATCTAGTTAACCAGGGAAGAGTCTTATTATAACTCCCACCAAAGTTCAGATCATGTTTTGCTACAAGTCATATTTTCATTTTTTTTTTACGATTCAGAGCAATGGTTTCAAAGTATGGGTCCAGGACCAACAGCACCTAATGTTCCCTGAGAACTTGTTAGAAACATTTGGCAGAAATTAAAATTCTTAGGACTCACTCAGCCTTATTGAATCAGAAATTCTGGGGGTGCAACCCAGTAATCTGTATTTTCACAAGCCTACTAGATGATTCAATATATGCCACAGAATAGGCTGAGTCTGGGAGAGCCAAATCCTCAGGTTAAAAGTTATCAGTGCCGGCACATGGGTGATTTGGTGATGGGAAACCCAAGGGGATTGCAACTGAGATGGAAAAATGCACAAAAATATGTAAAAATAAACTATTATATATATAAAAAAAGTTATCAGTGCCAACAACTGTTTCCCCTATCCAACCTGGTGGGCCAATCACAGATGCATATGTTTACAAGAGCAATGCAAGAATCTGATGTTATTTCAAGGCAATGGCAGAAAAGGCATGAGAAAGACATTATTGCCAAATACTTCCCTTTAAATCTACACCCTAAGTTTCCACCACCAAATTCAAGATCTTCTATTCCTTTTCATTGCTGATGAATTCCAAGCAAAGCAAAGCTTTTGAAGATGATGCATGCAGTAATTATTCCAGTTTCATAATACTCTAAACCTTTGCAAGAACTTTTATATAAATCACATTTGATCTTTACAAGTCTACTATTTTCCCTATTGGAAAATTTGTGTGTCATATTAGAACCTTCTAATAAAATCTTTAAGTTCATAACCACTTTTTGAATCTATACTATATGAGACACTTTTACATATTAAATAATTTCTAGACCATACAATTCTGCAATTTGTCTCAATATAGCAAATATTCACAACCTAAGAATGCAGAAAATGTTAAAACATATACCATAAAATTACATTAAAAAGAAACTAACTATTTCATGAAATATGTTAAATTCAAACATAAATTGTGTATGAATCTAATATCTGGTATTTTTTACAAAATGTGATGATATTGTAAGGAAAAAAGTCTTCATTCCCAGTAGTAAAGAAGAAAAAAAAATGAAATGAAATATTTGAAATGAAATATATGGCTTCCAAAATTCTTGTCCTTTACAGTTTCTATATTATCTGAGCAGTTCTTTTTTCCCTCAAAATTTAATGTTATATTCCAACTTGGAATAACGCAATAGGACTGTAAGTGTTAAAGCATGATAATGATTTTATAAACCTGTAGAAGTGGTACCAATAAAATTCCCTTATTCTTGTAGATGTCCTTGCCCTCTTCGTCTTGATAGGTGGTTTCTGTGGAACTCAACTGTTTCAACTACATAGGTTTCCATGTCATGGTTAAAGCCATTTGCAAAGGTCATCTTTTATTGAATATGTAGTACAGTTTGTTTGGAGGGGCTCATAATTTTTATGATCACTCAATAAAAAAAAATGTAGAGCATTCTTTGCTAGTGAATGGATTCTCTGCCAAGACTGGGCACAAGTCCAGTTTGACCATGACAGTGCAGACTCACTAACTGTAGGCTTATTCCCTTCATAGCAGATTCATAATTGCAGACTTATCCACATCATTATTTCATCAAAGCAGCTGATCTACAAGATCTACAGAGGCATTAAGTTTAGAAAGAGGTAATGACACAATCATCTACTGGTTATGTGGCACTTCTGCCTCAGATTATCAAATAAATCACCTAAATTTACTTATTGGTCTGAAACATCATCTGTCTGGAGTATAGAATCTCAAAGCAAAAGGCAGTGAGCCATCCTTGAGAACTGCTCATTACTGCCTGGCCTTCCACTTAGGTCACAAGATTGTTCTCAGGTTGGGGAGCCCCAGGATTTTCAGAGCCATAGGAAAGTAAACAACTCAATTTAATATTATTCTCAGGGTGACTTCAAGTAACATTTGGCTAGTTTAAGCTGGGATGTTCTTCTCTTTCACAGAATTATAAGTCTTTCCAGGCAATCTTTGCCAGTCAAACTCTTTCCAACCTGAAAAGATTATTTCAATAAGGGAAGTCAATGTTTTACGAGATATGTAAGATTTGTACAGTCAGAATTGTCATCTTCCTGTTCATTTTAAATGCTTTGCAAACTATTCCCTCTGAGAATCCTACAAATCATTGTCTAACAGTCATAAAAAAAATTCATTTCAAAACCATGACTTCTTCAAAACTGAGTTTTCAATCATTGTGGTTTCTAAAAAAGCCCATTGGTAATACTGCCTTTGGTTCTACACCCATATATATTTAACAAGTTTCCATCAAATATTTTTTGATAAATCAATTTACTAGCACTGGAAGGTATAAGTGCTTCATAGCCATTAAATAAATATTGTCCTGATTTTGCATAATAGAATATAAAGGGAATAATTCCAAGTACTTTTGCCACTTAGCCAAGTCTTAATCTCCATCAAATTGCCTTACACTTCAGATTTTATATTTAACTAATTGATGAAAAAGTTTACTTTTCCTTTGGTATTTTTCACCACTTGGATTCTTTTCTTTAGTACAGGTATGAACCTGGTGTTAACATACACTCCTGGAGAACACATTTTCGAGAACTTTAAGACAAAGGCTTAAAATTTTTACTTTTTAGTATTTTCTGGCTGTTCTGCTTTAAACTGATGAAAGCAAAATGCAAATGATTTTAGGAGTTTTCTTATATGAGCATCACCAAAACGTAAGGCATAATCAATTTTTTTTTAAAAAAAAGATCAAGAAAAAAGAAAACCCAAGGGAAGAACCCAAGGGAAGCAGGAACAAGGAAAGAAGTAGGAAGGAGAAACTTTCATAATTACAAGCTCATGTGAGAAATAAAATTCCAGCTAAAATAGTTGAGCAAGATTGCTACCTGCCATTCAAATACCCCAGAGTCACAGACAATTCCAGCCAATCTGAAGATGCTTTGTGGATTCTGTGGTATCTTAGGTTCCTCATCCATTATGATAGCTCATCTGCCACAATTGGAGACTCTAAGCTAGCAGCTCAAAATTTTTTTGAAGATCAGACATAGAAAAAGTATCATGAAGAGAAAGAGGAATTCTGTTTGGAATAACAAAACTACCTCTGACAAAACCTCTTTAAAACTAAAAACACATTCAAGACAAATGTGACCTCAAGTTTAAAATGAGCCCTGTACTAGATGTTACTACACAGAGAGAGCAACAATATGAAAGTTTTCCAGCTTATGTTTCCCAAGTCCATTTCAAAAAAGTTTAAATCCAACAAGACTAGCCTATCACCAGAAACTATTATGAATGTTGGGTCACTTTTCACTCAGTTCTGGTTAGCTGAATCTTAATTACTGGGTTTCAGGTCATTGGAAGATCATGGATTTATGGACTAAAGTGGCTTTAAAATGATAATTTAATGGACTAAAATAAATGTTCATATATCAAATACTTGGCAAATTAAACAGACACAGGTACAAACAAAGACAAACAAAATCACATATTTCCATGTATATATATAATGCAAAATATTTATGTATTGATAGAACTTATCTGGTCATGTTTCATGTGTATGTGTATACTTGTACCTGAAATCTCTGTTAAATTTGAGCAGCCCTCAAACAGGCTTTAATTTCATATCCTGGGGTCTCAGTTAGCAGAGGCTTTGTTGTCTCTAAGAACTCAAAATAACTGGGCCACTTACACCTAACAACTATAGATGTTCTGCTGACTGTCCTTGAACTATTTTTCTAGATGCACTTTTCCCTACACTGATCAACAGAAAACTTTCAAATTTAAGAAATTATACAAGTATTATATTTGTTATAATTCACAGTTATGCATCAATAAATGATTAAATTTTTTGGAGTTACTAAACTTAAAAATAAACAAAAAAGACAGTTCCCAGCCAAAACCTGACTCTCGAATCCAATGGAAGGTGGAAACAGGGTTGCAACTCCAGAAAATAGAAAATTCCCATTTTCTGGAATGGGGAGCTGATGGAACTTTTGCTTTCAGATTCACAGTATAACAATGAGTCTTTTTATATGTGCAGATGATAACTAATCAAGTTTGTACATCACCATTATAGAGTAGAAAATACACAAAAATCCAGGCTAAGAAAGGAAGTGAAAAAATAAACTTCATTAAAGCATATTAATTCTTTCTTATTTTTCACTACATAGATGGAAGTTTCAAAATTTATAGTCATCTAGTCAATTATTTTTCAAACACAGGCAGAAGAGTCTGGTCTGAGTGCCATATCCACCCTGCAATGGTTGACAAATGATGGACTTTTCCCCAAGTTGTCCTATCTATGAACATTCTTAAAGACCTAGGTTTCCTTTCAAAATGCAAAGATAACAATGACTGTGCCATTAGGAAACCACATACAATCAGTTACTTGCTTAAGGGAGAAATATTTCCTTTTAATCTAATAGATTTAAGATACCTGGGAGGGTTGTGTGCACTGAACTTTTGGCAAAAGAATCTAAAACTAAAAGAGCTAATGCATTATTTTACTTTATTTATGAGTATGCTTGCAATTTGTAATACACTGATAAAGCAAAAACACAAATGATTTTAGGAGAAATTTTCTCATATGAACATCATTTTAACTAGAGTACAATGAGCTTAGAAAAGGCAGTTGCATTTGAATCTGCCTTTGCTGGCTTTACCTGAATAGAGGTCAGGCCCAGGCCCTGGGGAGCGCGCCACAGCTCCATCAGCTGCAGCATCTCTGGGAGAAGTGGCTGACTGCAGAGGCTGCACAGTGAGGCAATCCGTGAGCAGTTCAGGATGAAGTTCTGCACTGGACCGCAACTAAGAGGAGAAAAGAGGAAACAGATGGAAAAGTAAAGCTGTTTTTGGAGTACTTTCTTGGAAAGGCATTATACCCTAAGGGTCAATGCAATTCAACCCACAAATACTTACCAAGCACCAGCTATGGGTTATGCACTGAGCTTAATTGAAAATAAAAGAGTCAGTTTTCCAATCCTAATAACACTTGGCAGGTGCTTCAGAAAAAATGTGACTAGAGGCAGATCTTACTTCAGTCTTTGATATTTCCACTTCTGGGAACCCAACTTCCTATTACATTTCCTTTAATTTGCTCTGTATCTTATCAGAACTTGTAGTGATAGCAAAAACAAACTCAAATATATTTAGTCCAGATTGGAAAGTGTTTTTAAAAATTGCCATGAAATATCTCAGTGGTAATTAAGAAATGTCCATTGAGATTTGATGCCTATAGATTTAACATAAGAGGAAAATATACAACTTAAATTTTAAAATATTATGGAACATGATTTAAAAAAAAACACAATGTCATTTAGCAGTAATAAAAATCCCAATAGCAAGATAAATGATAATAAAAACATTTAGATATTTATTTTATTCATTACAATAATAAATTACAGTTTTTATATATTAAAGTGTTAGATCTAAAAAAATTAAGCCATAAATATGTTAGAATAAAATACTGGTGAAAAGTTATCTGATATCTTTATAAACATTTTTTGTAGTGTAAAATTCAAATGGAAAAAAATCACAACATAAAACTTCGTTATATAAAGTATTAGCTCTCTGCTTATATACAAATACCTTAAAAATCTAGAAGTGTATTTGTTCAAATACTGAAAATTGATTTCTTCAGTATTTAAAGAGAGCATATATATTGAAGTTTTCTTTTTAAAGATATAGCTAAACCTTTAGATAAAAGGCTGCAGTATACATATTCATCAAATAAGTTTTTATTTAGTATCAGATACTCTGCTAGACTCTAGGGAAACTCTCATGGAGTTTACATTCTAGAGAGAAAGCTGAGATGAACAAGTAAAATACATGCAATATTGGTTGTGAGAAAAAGCTATAACAGAAAGGAAGACAGTGAGTAGACATGAGGGATGATTGCAACTTTACGTTGGGGATCAGAGAAAGTCTCTCGGAGATGCACTGGTTAAAGCCTTGAAAGAGGTAAGGAAACAGAGAAAGTCTCTTGGAGATGCACTGGTTAAAGCCTTGAAAGAGGTAAGGGAACAGCCTTGCAAGCAGGGGGATAGCCTGTCACCCTTGTAGATGCTTGTATTATCTGAGGAATAGTAAGACTAGAACCAAATGAGTTCGGGGCCTAAAGAAGAAAAACAGAAGATGAAGCCAGAGATGGAAGTGGGGAGTGAGAGAGAGTAAATCTGTGTTAATCTCTTTTCCCTTCCAGTTTAGTAGACCAGGAAAAGACCTTCCATATCATTTAAAGCTCTTAAATGTTCTCCAATCCACGAATCATCTAATGGGTGGGATGCTAATGAGAGGGAGGCATATAAGACTGAATCTCCAGGGAGGGAACTGCCTCACCATGCAGCCCTTGACAAGAACACAGTATTTGAAAAAGGAGAAATAAAACCATAGTAAACATAAAAAATGTTCAGCAGACTTTCAAAAGAATACAAAGTTATAAACTTTCTTTTATAACTTGTCATATTATAAAAAAATTAAAAAGTCATGGTAGTAAAAATACAGGAAGGCACTTTTTTTTTTAATGTGGGTGTGAAATAAATAACATTGAAGAAATCTGCAAATTGATGCCAAAGGTCCTGTGTTCCCTTCACTCATTTCCTGAAAAGGTTGCATATGTATACAATACTAGTCTAATTGACACTGGTATAATGTGTGTAAAGCTCTGTGTCATTTTGTCACATTGGTAGATTCCTGTAACTGTCACTGCAATCTAGATACAGAAATATCCCATCATCAGATCTCCCTTAAACTACCCAACCTAAACCCTGGTAGATCTCAATTAGTGTTTTTCTTTTTCTTTTTTTTTCCTTCATCAATAATCAAAGTAGTCCTACATTCCTATGTGTTGATAAAGGAAAATATATCAACTATGTTTTTAAAAGATGAGGGGAAAAATTATCTACTAAATTTTCCAATAACCCAAGTTGTGGAATTATGACTTTCTTTTTGCATTTTATGTATCTATTTTATATCTATTCAACATGTCTATGTTTTTTGTTTGTTTGTTTGCTTTGTTTGCTAGGACTACTGCAGCAAAATAGTATAGGATGGTCAGCTTAAACAATGCAGGAAGACATTCTTGAACAATGTGGATATGAGTGTGCATTGCTACAAACTTTTATGGTGGTAGCTGGTAATACATTTTCAAGAACCATAATCAGATATTAGAATCTGAAGGAAATAGCCAGAGAGGTGAAGAAAGATTTGTCAATGATATCAGATTGACAGCTTAAACTCAGTCATGATGAGAATATTATTGCCATGGGAATTAACAAATACTACACATCAAGCTTTTTCATTAGAGATCTAGTTGTTACACAACCATCACACCACACACACACACACACAGAATCAGTTAAGTTACTGTTCAGAGAGTGTTATTTCTTGGATTTCAAAAAGTTTCATAGAGACAAACATATGTCCAAGTTTTAGTCCAAAACTATGAAAAGGGCACAATGACCCTAGGATGAAAGAAGGAACACTTAACACGTGTAGTGAATAAGACATAATTAAAGTATAATTTCCTCAGTTTTGCCACATTGGAATATCTGTCCAAGACTATCTGAGTTTATGCCTAACCTTCCCAGGGCATTTGAAAAGTATTTTTGTTATTTTGGTACTAACATAACTCATGCTGCTTAAGAAAAACTGGAAAAAAATCAAGGCTTAGAATGAGTTCTGGTGATCACTTTTAATTTATCTTCCATCATTAAAATGTGATCTGGGGCCCACATGTTATACAAAGCATAGACATGAACGTCTTTCTGCTTTCTATTACCAACCACTCTAGGGTTTTACAGTTATCAGTACCGATGAGGTCTTTCCAAGGAATTTCACGGACATGGTTACTCCTGGAGTCAAAAGCAGGCAATCCTTCCTTAGCTTCAACAAGTATTCATGTTTTCCAACAGTGTGATTCCATATGACTCTGTGGTGAGAGTTAATTTGGTTTTCTCTGGGATTAGGCATGGTTCTAGAAAGTGCTTCTTAAATTGAACAAGCCTTTAGGACCTATGCAAAATTTCCAAAGAAGGGCCATATGTATAGAAATGCAGCAATGATATGTAAGTTTAGTATCTTCTCTCCCTCCAGATTATAAGAGTCTGAAAGGGGCTTCCAGATTATTTACGGTTCTTAAACATTTTCCAGTCCAGGAATTATTTCATGGGTGACGAAGGAGGCACATTGCAGAATTTCCTGAGAAGGATATCTTTCAATATAATCCAGTTTTACATTTGGAGAGAAAATTCAACTATTTACATAAAACAAATTACAAAGTTTATATTTCAATAACAACTGAGTCTATGAATATAAAATAAGATAGAAGAACAATTTTTAATGAAATAGTAAATGGTCTTAAGCTGTAGTTCTCAAAACTGTACATATATCAGAAGCACCTCGGGGCTCCACCCCAAAACTGCTCAGTTGGATCTCGGGTAAACTTCTAAAAAGTTCTAAGATGATGACACATGCCTTTGGTCTGGAACATGGTTTCAGAGTAACTGGTCTCTAAGAATCATGATAAGGAGAACTATAAATTTTCTGGTTATGGGAAGAAGAAATGATTCTGGGAATAAGGAATCATATAAGTCAAATTGTCTTTAAAACATGGTCCACAGACCCTCCCTGGTGGCGCAGCGGGTTAAAGCACTGCACTGAGAAGCTAAAGCCACTTCCGCATGAGTTCGATTCCCGCCTGCCCCGGAGGAGACCACATGGCGAGGCAGACCTCTCCTGACCCGCCCACTGCTCCCCTCAGCAGTGTACTTCCTCGATCTGCCTGTTCTGCTCCCCACTCTGTCTTTGGTGAAGTCTCTCACTGCCCCTGAGTCTCTGGCCTGTACCCCAGTTCTGTATGTACAAATAAATAAATCTTTGAAAAAAAAAAAAAAAAAAACATGGTCCACATGTAGTCATTTCTTATTTTCTTCAGAACTCATAATAACAAAGGCTGCCTGAGATTCACGTCTTATAAACAGTTAAATATCTATCTTCTTTTCCATAGATAAATGTGCTAATAATTTTCAACCCAGCTTAATACATGCTCTTTAGGAGACAACAAGGAATTTACATTTGATGATGTCTTTATTGTTCATTATGAAAAGAAGTGAAATCTGAATTCACTGATCATCAATTTGTCAAGTGCTGTGTGTTGCACAAAACCAGGGACTTCCATTCACACTGCAATTCATGGCTCTTAGACTTTGTGCAGTAGGGAATCCTTGGTAAGGTCTTTGCTTCCTAGGAGACTCACTTCATCCCCTATTATTATCCACAGACATATAAACCCCTTGTCTCTTCTCCCACCCTTCCTAGAGATTCCACATGGTTCAGAGAGATTCCACTCTGATGTAGGGATACACTGGTGGTTAATCTGTATCAACTTGCCTGGAATATAGTTCCCAGTTATTCAAATACACTCTAGTGGTTGCTTAAGGAATTTTATCAATAGGGTTACATCTATAGTAAGTTGACTTTAAGCAAAGGAAATCATTCTCTGTAATTTGTGTGGGCCTCAGCCACTCAGTACAAGGCCTTAAGAGAGAGGGAAAGAGAAAGAATCTAAGGTTTCCCTGAAAAACAAACAAACAAACAAACAAACAAAAAACTTTCAACACTGACCAAAGTTTCCAGCCTACAGATTTCTTATTTGCTAAGCTCCCACAACCATACAAGCTAATTCCTTAATCACTGTCCCTCTCTCCCCATTTGTTTCTCACTGGTTCTGTTTCTCTCAAAAAGTCTGACTGATATAGATTAGATATCTATATAGAAAGCTACTACCATATGATGGTCATTTCAGGTCA